TCTTCTTCTACATAACTGAACTCAGTCAGGCCGAACTCTAAGGCAGACCTGAATTATAACACATATAAAACATTTTCAAGCATGTAAAACCCACAATCTCTTTTTCTGTGGGTGCTTCTTGCTTCTGGTGATGTCTTATCACCTCCTGCTGTACTTTATCTTTTCTTAATGAATTTTTATTTGATTCTAAAAAAAAAAAAAAAGATATCTCATTCACCCTGTCAATCTCCTTAATTCTGTCTCTTTTATTTATTTCTTCCTTTTTTTGAAGAAAAGGTAATGTATATTCATTCAAAAAGGAAGCTCAAAAGGCTGAGAACCGTAAACACTACACAGTGAACAGTACATCAATTATGATAGGTTATGCCACACAAAAAGAAGAAATCAACAGAACCTCATAGTCAGCTCAAAAGTATCAACAGTAAAATGTAAAAAAGGAGTGTTCCTCAACAGTTATCCAATGGATATCCAAGACGCCACCATAGAAACAGCTCCTTTTAGCAGTTCATCATCCATATGAGATTCCTTCTCAAAGATTCTTGAGTCATATTTCACCCAAACCAACCCAACAACAGCAGCTGCAATGACTTTTTGGGCTTTCTCCCCTTACTGTTCAAGCCACCAGTGAACCAGCTCTCCATTGATCTTTCACAGAATTTGGAAAAACCGAATTCTCATTCAGAACATTAAGAAAGAAAGACAAGATCTTGGATCTGCTGGGGCAGTGAACAAACAAACAATCCAGTCCCCCACCAGTGATCACATAAAGAACATCCAGTTAAGGAGATATTCACACCTCTATTGATGAGGCTATCCTTTGTTGGTTACAATCTTGATAACCTCTTTTTTATTTACCATCAAGAAAACAAATTATGTTTGTTCATAAATTCATTAACAAAGCATAGCAAACAGTTAAGACAGAGGCTAGTGGCTCCAGAACAAAGTTGTCAAGGTGGCATGTCAAGGCTGGGCAACAGGTGAGTGCCTTGTCATCTTGGCAACTCAGTGATGTTTTTTAAGGATTTTATGTAAAGAATATGGTTAACTTTAGCTTGTTTCCCAATTGGGTGGAGCAACTAGGAAATATTAAAAGTGATTTAACATGAAAAGATCAAACAATAGAGTAGAATTAAAATAAAAATACACAGCCTATGAGCAAAATTAGGAGATGGAGCCCATTCACATTCTATTATGCAAAAGGAAGATGCAGAAAGAATGTGTGCACATGTGTATTAAATCAAAGAATAGGAGAAAACAGAAGAAGAAGAAGAAGAAGAAGAAGAAGAAGAAGAAATATAGGCAGTGAACCTCTTTTCTGTTTATAGTTAGAAATATAGGCAGTGATTACAATGGATTTAAGAAAGAAAAAGAACTAAGGGGCAAAGCCCCAGACCTGACATAGAAAGATGTACTTTGATTTATGCATGGAAATTAAAGGAGAAGTAAAGGCTTCTTGTAAAGAATACATAATGAAGGCATCAAAGTAATATTCATAAAAAAAAAAAAAACATAATGAAGGCAATTATTTAAAGTCCTATTGCAGTGAAGACATTACCTTCTCATTCCCTTAAACCCATTTTATGGCTCTCTACACTAAAAATCAGTTTTCTATAATGCCCTTTTACCTTATTTTTACAATATGATACAGTTTAACACTGCTGCACCTAAAATTTTTACAACTCCCATATAAGACGCCAAGGCGGGGCACAAGACAATTAAAAAAATGCTTTATCACCTAAATGCTACCTTGATAACTATGATCCAAAACCCTTTCGAGTATGGAAAAAAAAAAAAAAAAGCATTGGAGTATTACTCTAAATTTTAGTGTTATCTTAAACATATTATGAAAATAAAATATAAAACTAAATATCCTATTACTGAACCTAAAGTCATGAGGAATGCAACTACAGGCCTTTCCCTTAAGCTTGTCATTGGGGTAAAAGGTTTTGGAGATTCAATAAAGAACCAGAAGGATTATGTAGGCAGATAATTACAAGTATGGCCTAAATGGTTGGTGGGACCCTGGTTCAGCTTCAGTTCCTATGGGTTGTGCAGTTTGGAATGGGATAGAGAAAGCATATGATGACTTTCAAAAAGAAATTCAACATAAAATTGAGAATTTTTTTATCATCAGCAAGTGTGGAAGTACAACTTTGGAGGAGGTTTTTTCCTGAATTTGTCTGATATCTCTCAAGATAAGGAAGCACGGGTGCTGGACTGCTATGAGCAGTAAGGAAATGGGGTGATATGGCACCCCCAGTTCAGAAGAAATATTTAGGATTGGGAGATTGAACCAATGGCAAACCTTCTTGACAGGATAAGCCAAACCAGTAGAGAGAGGATGCAAGAGTTTGGGAATGGAAAAAGTAGGGCAGGTTCTCAGTTCTGTCCTACAATAAGATTAGTGTGCATGAGGAAACTATGTTCCCAAGCTCTAAGTTAAGGTCCAAATACATACCTTCAAAAGTGGCTTTCTTTGCATGGACAGCTGCTAAAGGGAAATGTTTCACAGCAGACATCCTTATTAGAAGTGGAACAATCCTGAAATGGTGATTGCTGTGTCCATTGAAGAGGATGTCCAGAAACTTCCAATCATCTGCGCATACACTGTCATTTCTCCTATTAAGTTGTGGTTGATGTCTTTAAATATTTTTTAGTGTAAAGGGGTTTTACCTTAATCAGTTCTATCTATATTCCAAAGTGGTGTATTCAGGGTTTGAGCAAAAGGGGCAAAGTTCTATGGAGCATGTTCCCAGCTTCTGTCCTATGGGTAATATGGAAAGAGAGAAGTCACTGAGCAAAGAAATATAAGGTAAGAGAGAAATCAGATAATTTTTAAGAACAAGCAGAAGAATCTGAAGGAGGTAAAGAGTAACACAAGAGGGATGTTGTGCTTGTAGATGAGCATCCAAAAGCCTTTTGAAGGAATCCCATATAGATCTTTTTCTTTTTATTTGCAGCCACTTTTTTGCAAGCTGATTTTCTCAGATAGACACTGCTTTATAGCCCAGTGTACAGCTTCTCATTGGACATGGTTTGATTTATGGTAATATACAAATTTTACGTTACTTTCTAAAAAAATTCTAAGTAAAAGGGTTTGAGTTTAAGCATAAGAAAATAAACAAACCCAGTCACCAAAGGAATGTGTGGTGCTTACCTAAGACAAAAGCTATGAAGGGGGTTTTCTCTTTGGAGAAAAATCCAATAGTTGCCTACATCAAAAAGAGAAAGATGAGGATATATCTCTCACACATAAAATATAGTGAAACAGCTATATGTTTTAGCAGAGTAGTGGCTTCCATGAAAAAGGGAACAGAAAGGGGAACAAATGACAGTATTCATTCTCCAGGAGCAAATGAGAAAAAGAAAATCAAGTCAAATCATCTATGAAACGGGATAATTTTTGCAAAAGCAAATAAACAAGAACAACTAGTTGTTTTATATGTAATAGTGAAAAATCCTGTTCGACATGAATTTAGGATTAAAAGAACAGTTTTACATGATGTTTCTTTTATACTCAACAATCCAAATTATAGGATCTCATTAGACTAACATGTTAAATATACCAACTATGTTTTTCTTTTCTTCTTTTTTTTTTCTGAAAAATGCATCCAATATGATAAGTGAATTCAACCATTAAAAGCCTCAAAATAAATAAGCAGCAATCACTAATTGRATCAAAAGAATACCGGTGTCCCATTTTCTGTGCTGAGGATTCCCAGAAAGTTCAATCTATATGGAGCCTGTATCAAATCCTCAAATAAAGAAAGAAACAAGTTAGGTGTATAGAGTTTAAGTAACAATACTTTTTATCAATAAAATTTCTTACTTTATGATTGCAAAAGGAAAAAAAATATGTCAGAACAAAATAGAAAAGCAAATGTCTACATAAATGCATGTTCAAAATTGATATGTGATAAATGCCAAGTTATAATAGAACTTGGCATCTCAAAAACCCATAGAGTGAAAGAAATCCATAAAACTAAAAATGACATTACAGGCAGTTAAGAGGATCAATGGAATAAAGGGATATTTTCAGCTAATTGTAAATCAGTCGTTATTAGAATTCATATCCAACAGACCTATAGTTCACAGTACACCATTTTGGGACAAGTTATTACCTGTTCTATCAAGAAAACTTCAAAGAAAAAAGTTGTAACTGCAAATTCTCTAAATCTGGCACCACATGCAAATGCCAAATTCAGAAGCCATGGATGAAATATCAAGAATGGTTCTAAAGGATCTGGTATCAGCATGCTCATACAGCAGACATACTCCAAAATTAGCCAAAATCCGAAACAGGCAGCTCCAATTAATACCAAGGTTTACCTCGTACCATGTTATTATAATTCCAATACTGGTGATAATCAACTAGATTTTAAACATCACCAATGATGCCCATGAGGTGAATCTTATATTAAGTGAAGAAATCTGCTACCTACAGAAGGTCCAGAAACTCAAAAGAATAAACAATCAACTAAGCAACTCCATCAAAATCAACTTTTACATAGTTATATAGAGAGAAAGCAAAGTGAGACTAGGTGGCAGGGTACTGCCTTGCCGCCTAAGTGTTAAGTAGTGTTTTTTTTTTTTTGGCAAATAAGACCTATAGTTAATTAGGTATGATCCATGTTGTAATGGAAAATAATAAAACAAAGCCACTAAGGATGAATTTTGCATATGAAGAGGCATTACATTATTAATTTCATAAGGCAATATCATGTTTCATCATAAATTTCAATATTCCAGATAAAACGTAATCAATTCAATTCAGAAAAGTAGCATCTAGCATGGTATATTTAAAATCATGAATTTTCATATAACAATAGTCTAAACAAATAAAAAAGCAACAAAATAGTAGCATGATGAATTCAAGAAAACAAGTATTACAACACATTGAATCCAAGCATATAAATAATGAATACCATACTAACATACTATTGGTTTTATGCATCATAGCGCACAAATAAAAAACAACACTCTACAACATATATGATTTTATGCATCATAGCAGCCTTGCCCTTTTGCTTGCCTAAGAAAGGCGCCAAACATGTATGCAAAAAAAGGATGTGATATAAAGGCGTGCCCCAGAAAAAAACCTTGTTGCCTAGGCATTGCTAAGGCACTTGTCTAACCATCACCTTGATAACTATGGCTCTTAGACGTAGCATCATTCTACAAGAAACAGCATGACAAGAAAGCCACCTTCTTTAATTATTGTCATCAATACTATATTAAGCACTAGAGAACTGTTTGGAAGGATAGTAAAAACCAGAGAATACTGAGAGGCTCAATGAATCAAGCCAATCATCCAGAGTCTGCGAAGGGATCTAATTCACATACACTTAACAGCTTATGCAAACATTAAATTTCAAAAATTCATATTAACTAATAGCTCTCTCTTTCTAAAAAAATTTAAAAAAAAAAAAAAAAAAACTCCTAAACATGATAAGTATAATGCATAGAGATAACATTGACTACTTGGAGTTCCAATGAAACTAATATCAAAATTGAGTAATCTTTTATATATGAAAAAATAAACGTCCTGGTCTCTTAATACAGTCAAATGGGACTTTTCATGCTCTAAGAAATTATTTCTTTGTTCTTTGTTCATCAACTAAAGCAGCGATTGATCGATAAAACAAATTGGGACTTCAGACAGACTTCAAAGTTTCCTTCCTAAAACAAGCTAAGGGCACAAACCAAAAAAGAAAAAATAAATAAATAAACGCCCTGGTCTCTAAATACAGTCAAATGGGGCTTTTCATGCTCTAAGAAATTATTTCTTTGTTCTTTGTTCTTTGTTCTTTGTTCTTTGTTCTTTGTTCTTTGTTCTTTGTTCTTTGTTCTTTGTTCTTTGTTCTTAGTTCTTAGTTCTTTGTTCATCAACTAAAGCAGTGATTGATCGATCAAACAAAATGGGACTTCAGACAGACTTCAAATTTCCTTCCTAAAACAAGCTCAAGGGTACAAACCAAAAAAGAAAAAAAAATAGGAAAAGTTGTTGCCATACCTGGCGAAGAATAGACGATTTAGGTGAAGAAAACAGGGGAGAAAGAGAACCAACTCGTCTCCAGATTCTCCACATTTCTCTCGCTCACCCGCTGGCTCGTCGTGGTTGCTCTCTGGGTATAACCTTTTCGGCTTTGTTCAGCTTTCAAAGCGACCTTTCTTCAAACACTTTCCGCGCCACATGAGTCGTTATGTATGTGGGGAAACGTGAAAAAATGAAATTACGTGTATCTTCCAGACATCCACTGCACGCAACTTTTTCGGGTTCGAAGCGAACCGTATCTGATATTTTGGTCCGTCCGCTTGCTCGACCTGTATTTAAAGGAGATGATAGAATTGGTGGATCGAAGAATCCGATTTGCTACTCGCTCCAACGTCACAGCGTTTTCATCCGTTTATAGAGGACATCTTTCGTACGAGATGTTATTAATCATGTGAAGATATTCTGAATGCATGGCTGCGATGTACTGTGAGATTAGTGTCAGGCGTGCTTTGTGAGATTAGTCCTACAGCATACACGGCAGGGATATGCTGTGGACGTTGTGGGGCGGAGACGTGAACTCCGCTTTTGTAAGTAACAAATCCGATTTCTTGTCCCGAGGGCTAATTTATTAGCAAACGGTGTCCCATCCTCGGATCCGTGAGTAACAAATCCGAAAAAACTTGTAACTTGTAACCAATCGACATATCATAATTGAGGTAACCACGTGTGGTTTTAGAGCTGCTGGACTTGAATAATTTTAAGGTACGATAATTTGCAATGAGATTATGATAGTTTTAAGGTACGATAATTATTAAATTAGCAAATGATTTTTGTAACAAATTATTATTAAAATAAAGATTTAATTATTTTAATCAGTATTGCATTCTTTCTTTAATTATAAGTTGTGGTTATTTCACTTTTTCAATGATGCATGGGTCCCCACTAATTTTAAGGTATGATAATTTGTAATGAGATTATCATAATTTTAAGGTATGATAATTTGTAATGAGATTATCATAGCTTTAAGGTATGATAATTTGTAGATTTGGGTATGTTTAGTGAATAAGTGGTTTTATAAATAAGTATTTATTTCAATGATTATTTATTAGTGTTCGGGGCCCTTTTCCAAACTACTTACATTTATTTTAAATACTTATTTGGGATTGAATCTCTTGGGGCTTATGGGAGAGCGTTTAACGCTACTTTTAAAGTGTAAAGTACAAAAAATTACACTTTAAAATCATTTGATTCACTCTTTAATATTTAGCCTTAGTATTGTACGCATCACACCAATCATTTCACATAATGTTCTTTTTGTTTTCCAAATATATCCTCGAAACACTTTCTCATTTGAGGACCCTAGGACATGCATGGACCTATATCATACTACTATTAAATAAGTTATTTTATATAAGCAAATATAATAAATATCTGAAAAATAAGTTTTTGTACCAATAATAATCATCATAATAAGTTATTGTACCAATACTTTCATTAAAATACTTTTAAATGATAATTATAACCCTCATGACATGTATGGACCCGCGTGTCACACATGTGACACTATTAAATAATTTATTTTATACAAGAAATATAATAAATAATTAACAAATAATAATTATAATCACAATAGTAATAATAAAAATGATGATGATGATGATGATGATGATAACAATAATAAATAATATAGAAGTGGTTTCAAAAAGTACTTTCATAGTACTTATAAATGACAATTATAACCCTCATGACACGCATGGGCCCATGTGTCACATATACAGAAGTACTTTTATAACAACAACAACAATATAATATAATGATGATGGTGATGATAAACAATAATGTTTTTTCCTGATTAATCAAAAAATATATATATAAAAACTAGAATCATAAGCAAATGTTAGCAAGTTAACCACATTTTCTACTTGCATCGGATTTTAACATTTTCATCAAAAGATTTCTAGGAATAGTATAAAATTGATCATGTATATATATATATATATATATGTGTGTGTGTGTGTGTGTGTAAATGGAAGGAAAAATAAGAAAAATAGCTTACAACTCATTATCGAATAGGTCATTGTCGACTAGCTATGTTTGCCTCTTTCCCAAACACAAATCAATGAGAAGAATGGCGAAAATGGGTTAAAACCCACCATAGCAAAATCACAGAGCAAGAAATGGTGAGAAGTAAAAACCGGGGATTTCGCTAACATGAACATGAAATCCCTCCCTAGTTGCTCGTGCCTTTGCTTGGGTTTACTTTTGTCATCTTTAATTTGCATTTTTATTGTCTTCTCTATAAAGAGAGGCAATGGGGGTATTTTGATTTTTTCTAGGAACAGTTTTGTCCCACTAAAATAAAATAAGCACTTATTATGTAATCACTAAGGCCATGTTTGGGAGTGCTTAAAAACAAGTGTTTATTCTAAATAAGTGTTTATTTGGGCTAGGACCACACCACTAAGAACTTATTGGTGTTTAGGAAATAAGCCCGAAATAAGTGCTTATTTTTTAAGCCCAATTTTCCATCTTTTTTAAGTGCTTAAACAATAAGCACATTCATTTTTTTCAACCAAAATTGCCCCCATGCTTAAACAATAAGCCCAAATGAATATTCATGCATGGAGAGTCTTTAAGGCTTGGATTTGGTGTGTCTTTAAAGTTTGGGTTCGTGGTGTAGAGGCAATGAAAGAAGTCCAAAAGGACTGGTCTCTGGACTGAGATGAAATGGCCATACCATAAAATATTCATGTATGGAGAGATTTCCGGTGAGAAGAGGCCCATTGTCATAGCTTAATACGATTATTTGGGTTTCAACTAATGAAGCAAGCTTTCTAGTAGACGAGCATTGATTCAAAGAACCCATGAGAAGAAGAGAGGTGACAAATAGGAATCAATCTTCAGATATTATATATATATATATATAGAGAGAGAGAGAGAGAGCTCAGCACTCACAATGTATATTTTGAAAATTTGAAAGAAAATGAACGACAAAATAGTCACAAGTGCTTATTTGCGAAAAAGACTACCAAACATTCAATATGAAATTAGTGCTTATTTTTTAAAAATAAGCACTTGAAAAAATTGGATGCCAAATGCAAATAAGTGTTTATTCGAATAAGCACTTATTTTTAACATRAGCACTCCCAAACATGGCCTTAAAAGAAGCTTGCCCAGGGACACATATTATTTAAGAACTTATTTTCAAAATAAGTACTTATTTTGGGCTTTTTTGCCAACTGCAAATAAGTACTTATTTTTTAACTTATTGTGTGGTCCCTAAAACTTATTTTAAGTGCTATTTGAGTGTGTGTGTGTGTGTGTGTGTGTGTGTGTGTGCTTGTTTTAAATGATACTAAACAAGGGCATCATCATTAAAGTGCATGTCTTTAAGTCCAGGATGGACCTAGGCTCCTTTGTCATTCATTCTTTCTTTCTTTCTTTTTTTCTATTAACAAACATCTATATAAATATATTAAGTTGAAATGTGTACAGGCCTGACGATGAGGGAAATGGAATCTAACTGTATTTTTTGCCTTTTTTTCATAGAAATTACAAGAATGCCACTCTCTGTCTCTCTTACAAATTACAAGAGTGCCATCTCTCTCTCTCCTTAAAAATTACAAGAGTGCCACTCTCTCTCCAAGTGAGGGAGACCTCAACTCGGCATCTCGGCTACTAGGGGACCTGCAATCAAAGGTAGTCGAGTTCGAGTCGAGCCGAGCTCGAACTTCTGAGCTCAAGCTCAAGTCTTTAATTCGAATCGAGCTCGAGCTAGATGACACCTTGACCACTAAGAGAGACCTCGGCTCGGCACCTCGGTCACTAAGGGAGACCTCGTCTCAGCACCTCGACAATTGAGGGAGACCTTAGCTCAACACCTTGTCAACTAAGGGAGACCTTAGCTCGACACCTCGCCTACTAGGGAAACCTCAGCTTGACACTTCAACAATTGAGGGAGACCTTGATTTGGCACCTCAGCAATTGAAGGAGACATCGGCTTAGCACCTCGACTGCTTGAGAGACATGCAATCAAAGGTAGTCGAGCTCGAGCTCAAGTCTCTAATTCAAATCAAGCTCGAGTCTAATAGTTTATGAGTGAGCCCCTGCAATGCAGGGTCCCCTCTGCTARTAATTCAATTAACTTGAAATCAAATTGAGAATACAAGGAAGGGAAGATTGCTTTTGTCAAKGAGGTAACGGATAGTTGACTACCAATCCCCTTTGATGATAAACTATTGCCTAGGAAACCAACAAGATAACTCGATTGTCATTAGCTACCTTTGATTTTGAGCATTGTTTTGACTCTAAAAAAAGCTATGTATAGACTAAAAGCAATACACAAAGCAGCCCCCATCCCATTTTTACAAGTACCATCAAAGTAAATGGTAAAACAAGTACCATGAATATTGACATCGTCATCAGCCCTCGTCACCTCGGACCGGCTCCATCCCCAAAACAAGAGTTTGTAGAGGCATTCAATTAACCTTATAGCCTGAGGATTTGTTTGATAACCTTCTATGGATTGGGAGAAGTATCTGTAAATAAATTTTCATTACGAGCCCTCCAAATTGACCACAAACTGAGAACATGGCGAAGGAGGAGGTTTCAATTGTCCTTGTTAGAAATGTTGCTTCCTCTGGTCATATTAATGAGCCACTCTACAACCGAGGTAACCTACACATCCTCAAATTTCCACCCAAGCAAACCAAACCACATAGCCTTCACAAATGGGTAAAACCATAAAAGATGTTCAACCGTTTATAGATGGTTTCTGCACAAATAATAGCTACAATCCACATCATTACCCCACCAGTTTGTCTTCGTGAAGATCAATTTCTAAACCACATTCCAAATTATGAGACGCACCATAGGATAGATTTTTAAACTCCATAACTTCTTCCACCAACCAATGACCGAGAACTCTCTCATGTCCTGGTTTGAGAGTAAATGGTAAGTTGATTTTGTTGTGAACTAACCATTATGCTCAAGTGTCTAAATCCATTCATTAGAGCAGGCATCGATTCTTGAGATACTAGTTTTTGTGATTTCTAATTGCTCATTTAAAGCAAATTGATTTGAAATTAACTAAGTATACCATTCTTTGTTCCCTATGATAAGGTCTGACACAAAATCCGTCACTCCACTATGAGTCTGATGTGTAGGCATGGGAATGAAACCCGGTAGAGTTGGGATCCACGAGACTGCATGCTTTCCTCCACGCCAATTTTTTTCATGTGCCACCTTTTTCATTCAAGATTTTTTTTTTAAACCTTCTCAATTTGGGTGCATGAAGAAAAGGGCAAGGAGAGAACTGAATAGTGTATTGTGGGATGGAAGTCAACACATTGTTAATAAGAATGTTCGCCCCATTTGCAACAAAGCATTCTTCTTCCACCCACTAAGTCTAGCTTTAATGCGATCCACCACAACATCAAATACCTCTTGATTATTTTTTTCAATGTATAGGGGTTATCCCAAAGTATTTTTCTCTTATTCCTAAACATTTCACCTCGAGAGATATCAAGATTAATCTATGTTATCTAGGATGAAGATTACCGC